TTAAGAGCATTGAACTGCACGGTGAAAAGTGATAATGTCGGCGTACAATAGATCTTTAAGGTCTTGGTGAAATTGGTTGGTCCGCCTACCCAATATACAGGATTTCCCAAAAGTAACGGATACATTCGTTAAAATAATTAAAAACAGTTTATGGAAAAATCGCTGAGACGGGTCTAAAGATTTAAATTCTTTGTAATTTTTTAGTAGAGATTTTAAATTTTTTCTTCCATTTTTATTACAGAATATGAAAGACGATTTTTTTCTGAATTTAGTACAGTCAAAATTAATATTAATTACATAAGAAAATTTTCGAGAAAACTTACCTTGAAGTTTCATAATTTTCCACTCATATGAGATAGAAAAATAGCAGTAACCATGCGTAACCATGGTAACCAATTGTTTCAAATATTTTTTTAAGACGATTAATTTTTAATATCTGAAACAATTGGTTGTCATGGTTACGCATGGCTACTACTATTTTACTATCTCAAGTGAATGGTAAATTATGAAACTTTAAGGTAATCTTTCTCGAAAATGTTCATATGTAAATAATATTAGTTTTGATTGCGATTTGAAAAAATATCGCTGACGTCATAACATGTTTAAAAATGACGGAAAAAATTTAAAATCTACACCAAAAAATTCAAATCTTTAGATACATCTCGGCGATTTTTCCATATAATTATTTTAAAGCTGACGTTACACGTAGCAGTCGACTGCTATGGCGGCAACTATGGAAGAGCATGGTTTGACTATTCCCTTCAAAATTTGCGTGTAACATGTCTATTACCAGAGTAATAGACTGCGAGCAAAGCTACTGCGAGGGCCAGAAAATTGTCTACTTGCAGTTTTCTAGCAGCAGTCAAATCAAGCCCCTCCGTAATTACCGCCATAGCAGTCGATCGACGTGTATCGTTGGCTTAACGAATTTATCTGTTACTTTTGGGAATCACTGTATAATTTGTATAATGTAGTGTAATGTATCATAAATTTTCTTAATGAGTTCAAAAATAGATTTTAACTGATGGAAGCAAAATGATGAAGCAATGCAAGACAATATGGCCAAGACAAACCACTGGGGAACAGAATCAGTTACCTTTTCAATTGGAATAGGATATAGCTGACTTCCTGTGTAATATATTGAAACATAAAACAACATGTTCATATCGCTTAAATTCTTAGAAGAAAATTTAGAGAGTGAAGCTTATGATTCAAAAGAACGGACTTCAGATTTAAGACAAAATTCATTAAAAAATAAATGTTACCAGTCACCATCTAGTAATGCAAAAAAGACTTGAAATCCTTACAGTAATCTTAATCAACACAACATCTTTATTGGTATTGTAATATTATAATTATCCCAAAATTAGCTTTCAAAGTTATACACTAACATAAGTTTGTAACCTTTCCTTCTTCGACTACCGACCTTTATTTCTGTTATTTTTCATTTTCTAAATTCTTGTATCATTTAGATATCATATAGTTTTCATAAAGTTTTTAACATAACTAGTTGTGCATAGATATAAAGGTGTGTCCAAACAGCACAGCACCAACACGCGGTGTTCTCAGGACACAATTCTGCCGCATTCAAGTTTGGGCATAACAAAGAAAGATTGCGCGGCAGTGCTACGCGGCATATGCGAGACACGCCGCGCATACTAAAAATGTTCGCGAATGGCAGGTAGAGAATTTCTAAACGAGCATTAGTAGAAGAAAATGAATATCAGTGATGAACACAGAAAAAAATGCTTGCCGAAACCGATATCAAAAACTCAGCAGCTTAAATCCAATATATTTAAACATTTCTGGAAAGATATAGAATTACAAAATAATTGTATACTTTATTTTTCAAATATGTATGTATTTTATCATTCAAATTGGCCTTTATTTACAAAATATCTCGTAATCTTATCACGATAAGAAGCTGTTAAAATAATATTTTAGATAAACAAAATTATTTGGCATTGTCAATTTTCAAAGTACTTCCAAATTGTATTTAACATTATTTTGCTACGCTTAAATTAATATAACTGCATGTATATAGGGTTGGAGTAGCCCCTATTGAAGTCATTGAAACAAAGGGATAATGGTTTAATAATTGTGATGTGGTTTCCATCCACCAATGTAGTAGGTTATAGGTCTATATATTAAGCATAACATAATAATTTTGATCATTATCGTTAATTATGAGGTGCGTTATCCGCACGGACCACAGTTCCTAATCTGTGTCCTGAAAAACAACACTGTTTTATGTGTACATTTCAATTAATGCTTTGGCAAATTCAAGATTTGACCAATAAAAAAGAAAATCAATAAGGAAGTGAACAAGCCACTAAATACAATTGGCAACATTCGAGATTTGATACAGTGATGCACACACACACAAGTAGTGCTCATCAAACAAGAATAAAGATAACTCGTATCGGTTTAATGCTAAACATAAGACATGAAAATTTTTGCTAAACTAATATGGAAGGATTCTAATAGTCAATATTTGTTTAGTAAATAAAACATGAATATTTGCAAATTATGTACCTATTTAAAATTTATAACAAACATTGCTTTGTTATCTCTTTAACTGTGATAGACCATGACCAGACGTTGAAACCTATTTTCTGGCTTCTTTAAACGATGCATTATTTGACCAGAAAGTAGGACATAGATAAAACTATCAATAATTTTAAGACTTTCACAGAAAAGTTTTTCTTTGATATAAAAGGGGAATGATAGTTAACAAAACTATGGTAGAACACACCAAAGAAACAACTTTTATATTTACTTATAAAACTAAATTTGTAATGTATTACAAAGTTTGTTGCTTAAATTGGCAACCATTTTTATTTTGATTTCTTGGTCGACATCAAATAGTGATAAGACATATACTTGGGTGGTCAAACGCCATAAGAGTCGAACTTTGTCGAACTTGTGCAAATCTGTTTCTGAGATGCTTTTATCAACTTTTTTGATAGCCTTCATTCTCTTCAAAAAGTACAAATCTTGGTAAAGTGCTTTACTACCAAAATGCAATGGATCTATGCATAATAGGGCTTGACGTAGGATTTCACGATGAAAACGCAGCTGTCTAACAGTGCTATCTTATACTCGTAATTTTCATTTGATCACTAGATCACATTTTCAGGGAAAAATTGCAATTGCCATCTATCATCATGGAGGTCGAATATTAAATTTTTTCTCTGAGTCTCCACCTAAAAACTTGACTACTTCTGTAATCATTTCAAACTAACTGTCAATTTCGAAAACAATTAGGCACAATATAACCACTTTTCCATTTATTTTGTAACTTTTTGAAGAGTGGACTATCAGATTCTGCAGTCACTTGACTGAATTTCAATTCAAACACGTTTTTTAACACCAATTCAGATATGTGATAGCTGCATGCAAAAGTAATAATTTTCCGATTAAGTTTTTGTTCGAAAAGCAGTTTTCACTTTATTTTCAAGATTTCTTAACCTTGAGACAGCACTAATTGCTTTATTTCTATGGGAATTAACTATTGAACACATTCTTTTTATTTGCAGTGAACATTAATTTCATGTCTGCATTTTGTGTTTAAATGACAGCGAGGCAAGCATTTTCCATCATTGGCATGGTATGTTCCTTTTTCCTAGCTCTCAACCGAACTTAAGATTTTAACTACCACAGGACATTTGTTTTATAAAAATTGGCGTGAATGTTTCAAGTCTATTGTCAAATTGAATGGAAGATTCATGATTGGTGGTTTGTTATAGTCAGGCTTTGTATCCCACTGAAATTTGGTGATTTTTAAAGTATAATTATATCAACTAGAAAACGATAATTTCCTAATTTTCGAGTAATGAAATATTTCTGCATTGATGTTTTCCTTGCATTCTAGATTAACGTGGGAAAAAGTGCTTGTAAATTCATATTTTCATTAAAATCGCAAGATATGTCAGAGGAATTGGCGCGAAATATTTAACTTTTCTCTTTATCAGCCCGTTTTTTTTATCTAAGTTGTTGACAAACTTTTGTCGATAGCTATTAGTAGGTATTCGCCCCTTTCCCTAATAAATAATGCACAAGCGAAGGGTGAATTAAATCCACTACACGAACATTGTAAAAGAAAAACCAAAACTTATCTACCAAAAAGATGTTTGTGCTTAATTCCACATACAGGTTGACTAATAAAAACAGTGCATTTACTAACAAAATTGATACTTCAGCAAATATTAACATTTTCCTATGAAAGCAGGCATGAGTTGCCGTGATGAAAAATTAAGAAGGTATGCGTTAAAAGTGTGTTTTTTCTTTGGGACATCTCAATACGCACGGGTTTTGCTATGCAAAGGTTAATATATGTACATGCCCCTACTAGGTGCAATGATGTTATGATAAGAATATTAATCGAGTCGTGCCTATCTATCTTTCAACGTCTTGAAAACAATATCACAACGTACAAAACTCTGTATTGAAACTATTCCGACGATAACTACCTGAGCAAGTAACGAGAGCCAAACATATTTTACTCAAACGATGATGAGGATGACTCCAATTTTCCTAGTATTTTGTTTTTCCAATACGCATAAGGTGATTACTAATACTAAAAAAGTGTGCCAAAAATAAACATTATTACATGACATTCTACTGATCAACCCTTTACTCGAAAACTGAAATCGAAATCATCAAACTTCTTTCAATACAAAAGTTCATCACATTATAATTTATTTTTAATATACTAAGTTATTGTAACATTGCATGCCAGGTTCTTGTCAAATATAACTTTGAGTGAAGAATTATTCACTATCAATTGTGCCAAGTTAAAGAGTACATAACGTCTTTTTCATTGAAAAATGGTAGTATATTATTCGGATGGAAGGAAAAATTTTAAAAATCGCTGAGATAAAAAAAATGTTTTATTAGGCTAAGTATTTGTTTAATAAAATTAATATAAGAATGTTTGAATTATTTACTTACCTTGTTGATTTTAACACAATACACACTTTACACAAAAGTAAACAATATACAAAAAAATTACTTTATTTTCCAAGCTTACATTTTATTTGTCTACAACATACTGATCTAACATCTAAAAACTTAATAAATGTATTCATGAATTTCCAATCAATAAAAAAAAATTATTTATAACTATTATAATTATAATGAATGTGCTTTCTAGAAGCTTAGTGTCTTCACCAACATTGAAGTAAAAATTAAAACTGTTCCAAGAAATAATAAAAAATTCCTACCAAAAAAAAATTGTTTTCTCTCAATCCCTATAAAACTTCGGTACACGTTCTATATATTTAGTTTGCGTTAAAGCGCCACTTCCCATAGTTGGATCCATCATTCGATCCCAATTCGTTTGTCCAACAACAAATCCGATGGCTCTCATCTTCTGTTGTTCTCTTCGTTCTTCCAAATCGGCCCAGCGAACCTAATTTTTATTTCATTTTGAATTTTATTCTCGAATCTTCAAAGAAACCCCGAATATTTTTTCTTACCCTCTTCTGTCCTGGTTTGGATTCCCTCGAAATCCACTCGTCATCGATTTGAAGGTAGTCTTCCATGGTTTTGGAGGGTCGGAGCGGCTTACTAGTTCCATCAAGTTTCGCTGGAAAGTAGAGAATCGTTCACCGACACAGAACGACACCGAAGAATAAGAAACGAGATAGAAATATCGTAATAATTTTTTTTAAATGTGTTTTTGTAGGCTGCACACTGTTGTAAAAGAAGGGAAAACTTCTAGACGCGATAACAAGGCAACAATATAATGGACTCTCCTGAGCAGAAATCTGTTCAAGATCAATTTAAATTTGCGTTGCATATTGGACAAAATATCCAAAAATAAATTAGATTCAGAAAAAAACGCGATGTCAATTATGGAGAAAAGCATTTTAAACCGCCACTAATAATTTTATTAGGGAGCGTGCAATTCAATACAAGATAATATAAAAGATTCATGTATATATACATAGTCACTATTTTGATTGCATTACTCTTTACACACTGTGTAAATTTACAATCTATTGATAAGCAAAGTTAAAAGTAGAATTGTAGTCATTTTTATAACGTTTTTATTCAATATTTAAACAACGTTATACAAAATGAAACATACACAGTTTAAGAAAAGAAAAACTTTATAGCTGCACAAAAAAGGAGGTGAAACCAAAAACATATTGGATTCTTCCTTTTTTACTAATTTGCTTAAAGTTTTAGTTCAAAATAAGACGAATTAATTCAGATAATCGGAATTAAAATACTAAGTGTTTTAGGAATCATTTAAAAAGATTTTTGTTTATGATTTCATCTTGAAATCAATTCTAAACTTAACTAAATTCGAGAGAAAAACGTCAATTTTTGATTCCATAATCGTATGGAACCCAATCAAGTGTATATTCTAGTGTAAATTCAAGCATATCGTAGCACGCCCCCCATTTAAACTATTAAATAAACTTCTTTGAAAGTATTAAGAGATAATTTTTTATAAGTAAAAGATATATTTGTCCGTTACGCAAATAAAACAAATTTAAACCGTATAAAAATACAGTAAATGTTACTGTTAAAACAATTTTATTGCTAATTTAAACAGTAAAAATGTTTGAATTATTTTTTTATGTCCTAACCTACAAGAAACTTACCAAGATTGCCGATGGAACACTCGAAATTGTCCCACTTGCTGCCACACGCCTTTTCCTACGAAACTCTTCTAGTTCAGTTTAAAAATTAACAGAACGACGATATGTTTTTATAGAGAGAGAATAAAATTAAAACTATCAGACGATTTTTTTAACTCTCTTTGCTGTAGAAGAATGCTTTAAATAACATTGTCAATAAAATACACGCATTATATTTATAACCAATAAATTAGAATAAAAATTAAAAACTTAAAATCTCCAAATAAAATTTTTAACTCACCACCCACGTCAAATTTCTTTGCTTACCTCTGCGGATTCTTCTTCCTCCTCAAAATCATCAGTCGGTGGAGAATTAATTTCTTCCATTTCAACTTCAGGAATAGAAGCGGATTGAACTAAAGAGGTCGCATCTAAAATCGGGTGATGCGGTGGAGTCGGTTCCCAACCACTTATTATTTTTTGTATTTCCGTTTCAGAACGATTATGAATATTTCGTTTAGTACAAGATACCAAATCAAATTCTAATTGGCATACATAAACCTAAATCGAAAGGACGAATTAAATTGACCCGAAAATGATTTAAAACCTTTCGAAACCAACCTGAAAACCGTTTTGTTTAGCAAAACTCCACATTTCCCCAAAATATTTCACTTTATCATTAATGTTGTCGACGATTATAAAAGGAAAATAACCGTCTGTAATCGTTTTTTTAAACGCTTTAAATAATGAGTTTCTGTAAACCATTTCCATTGATGCGTCATACTCGTACTCCATCACTTTCACTTTCGTCTTTTTCCCGTCTTCTTCTATAACTTTTTCTTGTTCGATCATGAAGTAATCGTCTAGGGAGAGTATTCTTGGTGCTGAACCACCGTGTTCAACCTAAACGATCATTATTTTCTTTGTGGTTAAGAAATTCATCGTTTTTATACTTATTGCAAACAAATAATAAATTGAAAAAACAAAACTTTTACGGAAAAAAATTGGATTTATATTTATAAACAAATAAAATTTTTTTTCATTCCATTTCAATAAGATGGTTTTGACTTAAATTTTAAATAAATGGAATGATATTTCTTTGAGCATATACTTTGATGGATTTGGAAGTTAAGATGAAAGTTTTAAGCCGTTGTATAAAACTATTCAACAACCAACGTACACAATTCATAAGTACTTCACACTAATTCATAGTACTCAAACACTATTCATACCACGTTAATTTAACGAAACACTAACATGATGTATTAGTCAACAATACAACCCAAAATGTTCAATTTATTTAACTTATATTTATAGTACTGGTACATCATTATTACTCAATAATAAAAAATCAGAGACTTATCTACAACAATAATAACCGCTAACGAACGAATCTTATGAAGATCAAGGAAAGAAATACCACCCAAGAGATTAATAAATTATAATCATGGGAATGTAAGAACTTACGAATGAGTTATTCTTATTTCTTTAATACCTAGTGTTGTGGGTACAAAAAGATCTCGAAGAGACAACTGTATCACGTGTACGCTTTCTTTGGGGAATGTGAGGAATACATTGTACATAAATCTCATATCTAAACTCTCTTTTATTCGCGCAGGTTCATAGGTGTGTTCATAAACTATACATTGTCAACGCAAAATCTGGTGAAAGGTTTTGATAAGTTTAATAAATCAGAAATATAGGAAGAGTTATCATTTTATTCCAAGAGAAAAGAAAATGACGTCACATTTATCAGCTAATATCACGATATTTTACCCACTATGAAAGAACTTAATAGTTATAATATTATAAAACTAAACCACCAAAAAAATAAATAAATCTTTTACATTTTGTGTACATAATTAAGTATTGGTTATTATTCTTACCGGTTTGGTAGATTTTATTTATTTATATCGATCAAAACATCATAATTAACGTTAAAATTAACGTTATTGAGCACAAATTGTGATTAAAGATAGAATCTACACTTCTGGAAGCACAACGTGGATATAGAAGAGATTATTAAAGAAGCAGAATGTAAATATCGCCTTTCTGGATTTAGAGAAGGTGTTTGGTAAGGTGCCTAGAGGGAGAGTATGGGAAAGGCTACTACGAGAGGAATTGAAGACAAAATTATAAAAGTTATCCAAAGCATTAAACTAAAACTAGAACTAACACAAGCATTATCACTAGAACTAACACTAGACCTAGACTTTCGGGTTAAGCCATACGTCTTTTGAAAGAGTGTTTGACTTTGAGAGAAACACTACAATATGGAATTAAGTACTAAATTAATACAGCATGAGAATAAATAGAAAGAAAACAAAAGTGATGACGAAAGAAGAAAAAGGAGAAGATTCGACGAGGGATCTGAGAATTGAAACTGATAACGAAGTGATGGAGCTAGTTTGTACACCACACATATTTAAGAGTTACAATCGATGAAACTGTAAAACAGGAGATGAATATATACGAATAAATAGACAAGACTATTGAAACATAGTTTGCACTACCGTAAAATTTTATTGGGAAAAGAGAAGTAAAGAGATATAGTGCAGTATAGATACCAATATTAACATATGGAAGCGAGTCATAGATACTTACAGATCAAAAGCAAGATACAAACAACGCATTTAAAATTTCTAAGAAGAATAAAAATATTACAAGGCGAGACAGAGTTAGCAATCAAGAGGTCCATCTGAGTTTGTGGGGACATCTAGTCAGACTAAAAGAAGAACGGCAAGTAAAACAAGTTGGGAGCCATGGATGAGCAGAGAAAGAGGACGACGGAACAAGACCTGGGAGGATGTGATAGGCAAGATTCTTTGAAAGAGGGGCAAATCAGGGATATAACGTTCTCTTTAATATGAAGTAGCAAAAACTCCGAGACCGGTAGAAACAACAACATCAATAATGTAGAAAATAGCAAAATTTTATTTTCAAAGTCGCAATATATTACCCCAGATCACGAGGGCTTAGACTTAAGTTTCAGTCAGTCATTATGTAAAGTTTGCATAAAAATTAATTACAATGACTAACTAAAATTCGAACAGATTAATAGGCATTTTATTAATATCAATCATACGCAATATTAGTCTAGTTTCTATACATTATAAAAAAGTCTAGAGAGGTTAGATCATAAGACCTGTGTTTCCTTTCCACGATACTCTATAACTCTATATAAAGATGTGGAAGATAAAAATCTTGCTGAAATGTGTATTTAGATAAATCCAAATCATTGATTCTTACTGGATCAACATTGATTGTTGATCCAGCTCTAATCCTACTAGGACACTTAAAATAAACTGGTACATTATTTGTCTAAAGTGTATCAGATATAAGATAACTGCCATACCTTAACTCAACAGTGCAAAAAAAAAAGATTTTTTATTGCAATCTTTATCAAACAAAACTTCTTTATACCTCAATCTACTATTCTTGACAAATCAGTTTGAAATTTGTTAAATATCGTCTCCCTCTCCGCAAAATTACCACTTGCAGCATTTGTTTGACTTAATCATAACTTGTTGAATTCGAAAATGTAATCAACTGAATCTCAAGATCACCATAACGACTGCAATTATTGTAGAAATACTATGAAGCTTAGTGTAATCTAACGTAAAAAGTATTATATCAGACAGAAAAGCGCAGTTTCTTAACAAAGTTTGTAAAATGGATGCAATAATGTACAATTCATGCTATATAATGCATCATAGAATATTACATTAAACAGATAACTTTGTGCAATAACTACAACTGAGTTAATATATACAGTATAGTTTTTATGGTATTAATTAATAAAAATTCGAGAAAATTGCGGCGCACTTTGAAGGTGGGCGTACCACTTAGATTTCTCGCAGGACAGTCGAAGTTAAACAAGAATTGGATAAATGGTTTTCCGTAGTTAGTTGACAAGATGTAATTGTTACCGGTACAGTTTAAAAAAAAATCAGAAGAGCAAGACAATATCCAATTTAAGAAAGGACACGCTGAAAAGGGAAGCACCAATAATGAAAGCGCTAGACATTGGAAATACACGACAATTCAAACTTTTTTAAAGATTTCTGTGCAGATGACGTTCCCGTAATGAACAAGCAAGCAAAAACATGTATAGTTGAGTTACGTTATTTAATGCAAGACCGTCGTGAAGGGTATGTCCGAAATGATTGTATGTGCGGATTTCGTAGAAGTGCAAAGTCGTAAAAAGTACACTAAATAACTTTTTAAAACAATAAATACTTAATTGTTCTTTAGTGTTTATATTCTATTATTATTATTTTAATTTAAAATATATACTTATTCATTTCATTAAAATATATTAGAATATTACTTTTTGGTTGATCTATTTCGCTTTATTGGGACAACCACTAAATTGGGTCAAAATGCCTCGGTCCCAACTACGCAGAATCGACTGTATTGTATTATATATTTGTTCAAATAATGTATGATGAAACATCATTAAAGCACTTACGGCCAGTGGAATACTTAATTTTTTATTTTTCCTTTCAGATTGCTTTAGGTATTTAGGTCGAAAGAGTAAAACCAAAGCTATTTATTGACATTACAATTCATTTAGTGTGCATATGTTCCAAGATTGAATGTTCAAATTGAACATTCAAGATTGAATAAGTAGTAATTATTGTACAAAACCCAGCTATTTAGAACTGCACTTCCTATACACGCAAATTACATTATTTGATCTCGGTTTTCACTTTTATTAAATACATACAGAAAAAACCGGATATAATCTGCCATTGAACATTATAATCTCAAATTTGTGAAATGCCAAGATTCAAGACTATATTAATTTCATTGCCAGATGTGCGAAAATGTTTGGAAATTTTTAATAAATTAAAAATATCGTTCCGTTTGATATCATACTTAATTGCTTAAACTAAATGTTTGTTGCCTTTCGTTTTGATTCAAAAACTCAAATCGTTCAACTTACATCAACCCGTGAAAATGCGGCTTATGTGATGGCAGTTTTTCTGTACTAATCTTAGTACACCTTCGTAATTTGTATAAGAGGACCCTATCCAACTGTTTGCACGTTTTTAGTTATCTAGTTACACGTAATATTATGAATAAATCTTAATAGAATCTATCTTGACTGAGACAAATAAGTCTCAGTAAGGGAAAAAGATATTCAAACGATTAAAAGCCCATCTGTAGAGAAGAACAGTAGTGTTAGGTATCAGATTAAGAACTGCTTACAACAGATATCTCCTTATATAACATTACTTCAAATACATAAAAAATACTTAAATTTCACAAATCATGTCAATTACCATCTAATTTTTGTTTTAATTAGAAAGAAACTGATTGTAATCAGCTTCATAGTAATCCAATTCATCAAATTAATCAATAGATTAATTTCTTTTGTGAGTAAAACCTGATTGAAAATCATTTATTCAAAAATATTTAGTTATCAGTGTAACTTTACACTTTAAAAACTTTATTGAATTTTTTTAAATGAAACATAAACCTTTAACAAAAAAATAAAAATAAATAATAATTACCTCTTTATCCTTAATTAATTTTGCCAAAAACGTTTTTCCACTACCTGGTGGTCCTCTTAAAATGATAACGATTCTAGCTGCCCTTGAATATCTTCCAGGAGGACTTAAAACATCCTCAATCAGGGTAATGTTCTTCATAGATTGAGGTCGAGGAGGTGAAATTCTTATTTCTTTAATCTCTCTATTAAAACCTACGTCTTTTTGTACACCCAAATCACCAAATCTTCTCCCTCTAAATTCTTCATTTCGTAACCTTTCAGGTGATTCATATCTTACCCTTTCAGGTTCCTCAAATCTTATTCTTTCTGGTTCTTCAAATCTTATTTTTTCAGCTTCTTCAAACCTTTTCCTCTCTGATTCATCAAATCGTTTTCTTTCAGTTTCATCAAATCGTTTTCTTTCAGTTTCATCAAATCGTTTTCTTTCAGTTTCATCAAATCGTTTTCTTTCAGTTTCATCAAATCGTTTTCTTTCAGTTTCATCAAATCGTTTTCTTTCAGTTTCATCAAACCTAATTCTTTCAGAATCCTCAAATCTAATTCGTTCAGGTTCCTCAAATCTCATCCTTTCAGGTTCTTCGAATCGAATTCTTTCGGGTTCTTCAAATCTTATCCTTTCAGGCGGTTGAAATCTAGGTTTTTCTGAACTTGGACGTTCAAAATCATCATTCGATCTTCTTTGAAAGTCTTTTTGCGGCGGCTCAAATTTAATTCTTTCGTCGATTTTTTCGAACGGTTCATCGTATTTACTTTTTATTAAAGTTTCATCACGTTTAATTCTACGATCTTCGCGTCTCCAAGAGTCACTGTAACGATCGTAACCGGGAGGAAATCTACTGTAAGTTGGTTGATCGTAACGTTGAATAACAAAATCGAATTCTCGGCAATTTCTTAATGTTTTTTTTAACCAATCTGGTCTTTGAGGAAGTGGGATTCTATTAACTGGTTTGTGACGATAATCGAATGTTCTTAATGGCTCAATTGCAATTTGGATGTCTTCTGGAGTGTTTGTTTTGTGGTCATATTCGATTACTTTGACGGGTTCCCACATAGGGGTGGTATCTTCTGATTGTTTTGAAGATTCTTCTTGATTAATACCTTCATTTTCAGTGTAATTATATCCTTCGGAGTAATTTTCTTCGTAGTTTTCGTCGTAATTTTCCTCGTAATTTTCGTCGTTATAATTGTTGTAATTCTCGTTTTCTTCGTAATTATCAAAATCGTCATTTTGAAAGTGTTGCCTACGATTTTGAAATTTTTTTTGTCTCTTTCTGTTTTTCCCCCTGAAATTATTTTCGTTATAACTTCTATCATCTTCCTCATAATAATCTTCGTCGAAATTATTTCCTTGATTTCCGCTAAAGTTAGGTTGGAAATTATCTCCACCACGGAAATTTCCGAGATTTGTCATGTTATTATTATTATTGCTACTATTACTTTGTTCGTTAAATTGATTGGGGCCTCTAAAATCGTCGTCTCTGTTAAAATTGGGTGGTCTAAAGTTTAATCCACCAAAGTTTGCGTTTTGAGATGAATTTTTATCATCTTGGAAATTGTTTGGGCCTCTTGGATTCGGGGCATTTTGGAAGTTTATGTTTCTAAAATTATTAGGGGGTTGAAAACGATCGTTTATATCAAAATTTCGATTAAAATTATCATTTCTAAATGAATTTTGTTGTTGAAAATTATTATTTGGTTGAAAACGGTCTTGGTTTGAATGGAAATGTTCTTGATTTGAATGAAAACTATCTTGATTTGGTTGAAAATTGTCTTGATTAATTTGAAATCGGTCTTGATTTTGTTGAAAATCATCGTTTTGAAAATTATCATTATTATTTCGATAATTTTCTTGATTTCGCCCGCGAAAACCACCTTTTCCAAAACCATCATCAACATTTTTATTACCCCAATCTGCTTCAGGCTTCCCCCCAAAACTACTTCTAGTTTGATCATCAAAACTGCTCGCGTTATCAAAATTATTTTTCGGATCGCTTTGACTCGAAGCTGTTTCATTAAATTCTTTTGGTTCGTGTATTTTCGAGGTTGTATCAGTGAAACTAGAGGAGCTCGAAACTTTTTGATTTTGCGAAACCATTGATAACATACTCAACAGTTTTTGATCGCCTAAAATTGTGTTGATTCCTTTTGAGATCGCTTCTAAATCGGGAATTGGTTTATTAGGGGGTAATTTATCTACTTCTATTACAGAGTCGATATTTGGAGATTCATTTTTTTCTTCATCTTGGACATCTCCAACTAAATCTAAACCTGGAATGCCGTCGGAAGTTGTTAATTTAAGAAATGATATGCCATCATCTTTAATATCAACGTTCATTTCTAAATTTTGTGGTTTTGTGATGTTTTCAAATGCCTCATTATCAGAATTTTTGGATGTTTCACCTTGTTTTTGATTATTGTCAGGTAACCCCAAACGTTTTCTTCGCATTTGTTCCCTTCTTTCTAATAATTGAGTTCTCCAAGCTTCCCATTTTTTCTCATATTCTTTGTATTGCTCTTTATCAGGATGATTCACATTTTGTTCTTTCCACTTATTAAATTGAGCCTCCCATTCTGTAAATTGCTTAATAAATTTTTTCTCAGTTTCAGATAAATCTTCTGGGTTTTGATTTGGATTTGTTTGTTCATTATCACCTTTATTGATAATCTTAGGATCTAACTTTATTCGTTTATTATCAATTTCTTTACCAAAATCAGGCTTCTTTAAAGGTAAACTCAATAAACTTGGTGGTTTATTCTGGTTATTACTTCTATTTTGTTGTTGTTGATTTATATTTTGTTGCTGATTTATATTTTGCTGTTGATTTATACTTTGCTGATTTATATTTAGCTGTTGCTGATTAACTTTTTGTTGCTGTTGATTAACCTTTTGCTGTTGTTGATAACCCCCAGCAAAATTACGATTATTTTGGTTATTTCTATTGAAATTTACATTTAATTGCTGCCCAGAAGGACTTTGAAACTGATTCTGATTACTTTTATTTTGACTTGGTGGTTGAAAATTAGGTGGTGGGGCAGAAAAATTTGTCTGTGTATTTATCCCAAAGTTCCTATCATCTTTTAGTGGCTCATTGGGTGGCGGCTGTGGTTGTGCTTGAGCTACCTCAGGAGGTAAAGGGGGAGGAATTGATGTATTCAAAATCGGAGGTTGTACTGCTTGTGATAAAGCTGACATCGATTTCTGATACTAAACATGTTTAAAAAACATTTTTAGTCCATTTTCAAAAGTATTTTTAATCAACTTACTTCTGCTCCATATTGTTGATGCCACTGTTGATATTGTTGTTGCCATTGAGCCCACTGTTGCCAGTTTTGTTGTTGCATTTGGGCCCATTGATCAGCCGTATACTGAGGAGGTAAAACCCCCGTTGGATTAACAATTGGAGCTGGATTTACGATCCCAGATAAATTTGGAATCATTGGAGCACCATTATTCCATTGTTGCCAAGCCATTACCTTAATAAATACTTTAACAAAACTTTATATGTCCTTAAAAGCACCGATTTATCTTACCTTTAATTAATTAAACTGTCATTTAAAGCTTTCTGACACACTTTAACACTTTTAAAGGAATTTATCTTGGTTGTTATATATGGTAGAGGTATTTTAAGAGATTAAATAAGATAAGAATGATTCTGCTCCAGATTATGGACAAAATATAAGCAAAAAGAAACAAATCAAAGTGTTGGCTTACCTAGAGTAGATTATTTCCTTTATATTGAAGGTACGTGGAATTATTGAGGGATAGGGAGTTCTTTTAATATTAAATGCTTAGTTTTATGTGAAATTGAATCAATTATACGGCTTTATTTCACCGTAAAATTGAAATATGTTAAACATCACACATTTGACATTACGCACAAGCAAACAATATTAATAATCCTATCAGGGTGGGTAACATAAATTAAAAACCTAGATTTTTAGAACAAATTCAACTTCCAAACCACATATATAGATATTTCCCATTTAAAATATTTTTTTAATAACCACTTAACAAATATTATCAATATTCTCATTTATTAAATAATTATTTCAATAAAATATTACCAACATAAATTGACATTTAGAAAAGTTGGTTATCGTAACATAACCTCAAAGATAACCCACCGAACTCAATTCAATTAATTTATTGAAAATGTTTAAAAAGTATTTATTACTTTTACTGTGTTTTGTACAATTAATTGGTTGGTTTTTTTAGATTTGATGAAAAGGAAGGGGTTTCCGGTATACTACAGTTAAAATCGTCTGTTCAAAAAGGTATTCGGGGTAAACTTTTAGATCAATTTCCTCATTTAGAGGGTTATATCGATGCTGTCATCCCTAAAAAGGATAATTTACGTATTGTAAAATGGTAAGAAATTGATTTGAAATATTAGAAAGTGTTTAAAACTATTTATTTTATAGTCATGATCATATTGAGATTATTGTGAACACTGCCGGTGATTTGCTGTTTTTTAGACAACGAGAAGGACAGTGGATGCCCACTTTAAGACTTTTGCACAAATGTAAATATATAATCTTTTCTTTTGGCTATGTATAATTTTATTTATTTCTAATAGATCCGTTTTTCTTGCCAATGCAACAAGTTGATAAAGGCGCAATTAGATTCGTTTTAAGTGGTGCTAATATTATGTGTCCTGGATTAACATCTCCTGGTGCCAAAATGACTGAAGTTCCTAAAGGAACTGTGGTGGTAAATGTTTATATTTATTAATTTCAAGATTTGTTGGTGTGAAATATTCCAGAGTAGCTTAACAATGTTTGCTTTAATCAGTTTGTGAATATAATCACAAAATATATTTTTCAGCACTTCAAAGTAAAATACAAAAAAGCAGGAAAGTCTAATTTTTATGGAAACCAAAAGGGGTGTTGACTATTTCGTCAAATTTTTCATATTTTTCTTGATATCTATGCGGCTGAGAGCAAAAGTGCAAGAGAACAATATTGTTAAGCATAAAATTTGCTACAACTTTTGTTCTAAAAGATTTTTTGTAACATGTTTACATTCCCCAGTGTTACCATCAATAACTTCAAAAAACAACTAATTCGTAACTTTTTCACATTTACGTATTTTTTTCGATATCTATGCGTCTGAAAGCAAAAGTGCAAAAGAGCAATATTATTGAACATAAAATTTGCTGCAACTTTTGCTCTAAATTTTTTTTTGTAAAATGCTCAGATTCTTAAGTGTTACAATCAATAACATGAAAAAACAACAAATTCGTCAAATTTTTGAATTGTCATGTTGTTCTCGGTTTCTATGCGTCTGAGAGCAAAAGTGCAACAGAGCAATATCGTTAAGCATAACATTTGCTGCAACTTTTGTTCTAAAAGTTTTTTTGTAAAATGCTCAGATTCTCCAGTGTTACCATCAATAACATGAAAGAACTAATTCGTAAAATTTTTGCATTTACATATTTTTCTCGGTTTATATGCGTCTGGAAGAAAAAGTGTAACTGAGCAATATTGTTATGCATAAAATTTGCCACAACTTTTGCTCTAAAAGTTTTTTTGTAACCTGCTCAGATTCCTCAGTGTTACCATCAACAACTTGAAAAAAACAGCTAATTCCTAAATTTTTGCATTTACGTATTTTTCTCGATATCTATGCGTCTGAGAGCAAAAGTGCAACAGAGCAATATTGTTAAGCATAAAATTTGCTACAACTTTTGCTCTAATTTTTTTTTGTAAAATGCTCAGATTCTCAAGTGTTACCATCAATAACATGAAAAAACACCTAATTAGTCAAATTTTTGCATTTTCATATTTTTCTCGGTTTCTATGCGTCTGGAAGAAAAAGTGTAACTGAGCAATATTGTTAAGCATAAAATTTGCCACAACTTTTGCTCTAAAAGTTTTTTTGTAACCTGCTCAGATTCCTCAGTGTTACCATCCACATCTTGAAAAAAAACTAATTTGAAAATTTTTGCATTTTCATATTTTTCTCGGTTTCTATGCGTCTGGAAGAAAAAGTGTAACTGAGTAATATTGTTAAGCATAAAATTTGCCACAACTTTTGCTCTAAAAGTTTTTTTGTAACCTGCTCAAATTCCTCAGTGTTACCATCAATAACTTGAAAAAAACAACTAATTCGTAAATTTTTGCATTTACGTATTTTTCTCGATATCTATGCACCTGAGAGCAAAAATGCAAGAGAGCAATATTGTTAAGCATAAAATTTGCTACAACTTTTATTCCAAAAGTTTTTTATTTTAACTTGCACAGATTCCTAAGTTTAACATTGATAATCTGGGTTAGGATTGTCAATACGGTTTCAAACATGAAGACAATTTTTTTTTCAAAATGCGAAAGTGCAACTTTAAGGACATTTAGTACCGTCCTGTAAGTTCTAACATCCAATCATCCAATCACAAAAATCATCATAGGCCATACAAATGTGAGTCATTAATTCGTTTATATATGAACGTCCAGAATTGAAATAATCGCAATAGCTTATAATAAGCAGTACTTTCAAATTTGGATGAAAATTTTTTAAAATCGATCTCGATTATCATCGCTTAATAATGGTTATTTCTAAATCTTCAAAGTTTAGGAACCATTCCCTTTACTAAAGATAGACGTAACTGGCATAAAGAAACGTAACATTTCCGCTATCTCAGAAAGTTAGATGATAAGCTATATAACTTCATTGCTACAACATCATTTGATACCTTGATAATATCGCATCGTTTTGCTTTGCGACATTTCCCATATTTTTGATAATAAGAGAGGGGGAGGCCAAATACGTTTCAAATATTTAAATTTTAATGTCTCCTCAACCGATTATATATTTTTGGTCTTGTATAATTGAGCATTTTATGTTTTTTCAAAAAATATTAAATTACTAACGATATTAGAACTTGTAACTGTAACACTAAGCCATTAAAATTAACAATAATTTGGGTATTATAAACATCCTGATGGTTTTTAAAAGAATAAAACCCAACATTTCTCGCCGGGCTATTTTTGATGTGTGGGTTAGCAGTTTGTTAAAAGCTCGATTGAACATTTATTCTCTTCTCCAGGTGATCCAGTAAAAGGGAATCATATGGACGCGGTCTTTCTCATTATACCACAATATATACAGCACTAAGTTCATACATCGTGCAATCATCATTTGTTTGATTAGTATCAATGTTGGAAAACGAATTTTTCCATGAACTGCTCAATACTCAATTTCTTCTGCTCAATTTAAAACAACCTTAGTTCAAGTTTAATCCATTTGCATCATCAAAGTATTCTATCACCAAGCGCGGAATATTCCGCGAGCATGCGACTGTCTCATAAAATCATGCGCATGATGCAAATGGGTTAATAGCCACATATGGTTGCGGTTGCCAAACACAGTGGAGGGAGGCGAGACTTTGTCTTTGCTGTGGAATAGATCTGGCAAATATTCAAAAAAGTTTATCAAGATGTCAATAAATGCAGTTAAAACCTTTTAGTCTTGGAAAATGTTAAAAGTAGCTTTGCCTTAGCTTTGACTTTAAATAGAATTGCTCTGTACTATCTCATACATACATATAAAATTTATTTTATATTGATCAAATAATTCTAAGTTATAGTGAATATCTTAAAATCATTTGACTAGTTATTTAGATAATAAAAAATAAATATAAATTTTTCAGTTTTTTTAATTGTTTTATAGGCTATTATGGCTGAAGGAAAACAACATGCTCTAGCTATTGGAATTACAACTCTATCAACTGAAGAAATGTAAGTTTATTTAAATTGGAATTAAGTGGTAAGAAATTCTTGATTTTTTAATTTTTTTAGAGGTAAAATTAATAAAGGTGTTGGAGTTGAAAATTGTCATTATTTAAACGATGGTTTATGGCAAATGAAACCTGTTAAATAAGGCGGTGTTTTTGTAATTTATGGTTTATTTCATGTATGATGCTTTTTATAATAATATCGAGTAATTATAATTATATCTTTTTCTCATTTTAACCCATCCCAAAAAAAGTTGTGTAAAGTTTTTTGTGTTGCCTACGTTATAAATATTTTCTACCTTTACCAGCAGGAAACAGCTCCTGTTGGCTGCCGCCGTTTGGTCGCGATCAATGCGATTCCCGAGACCCTCGCATATAACACGCCGAACGCGAGCAGCAGATTCTGCTGTTTTCTCAGTAACCGTGCGAGTTCGCGCGCGTGCAGTCGCCGCAGATTTAGTTAAAAAAAATATCTCGTTTTTTATTTTCTATTTAATTAAATTAGATAGTCCAAAAAATCGAAAAAAAAAAACTTTAAATAATTATTTAGTTTATCGATCCCAATTATGTGCCAGCAATGACATCGTCAACCACCGTCAGAAAATCGTACGGCAACAGGAAGCTCAACACTTTCCCGGAGGACTATTTCCGCCTGGTCAAACAGAAGACCAACGCGAGTAATGCTCCGAAAAAGAGCGAAGACGTCGCCAAATTAATTAAATACATCGACGATAATGTCATTGGAAAGAATAATGCGTTTTTGGGTCCGTTTGGTAGAAGAAAAGGTAAGCATTTTTATTTTAGTTTTTAATAAATCGAAAGTTTTATTATTGTATACAAAGTATCGATGGGTTTAGAATGTACTTTACGAGGTGATACGAAAATAAATTTCAAATACTATCTGGTGCCAATTGATCTGCCGCTTGAAACCGACAAGTATGCTTTGTCGTGTTCAGAGATGCAGCTCGGTTTTGGCGGACGGGCTTTTAGAATTCCTGCTGCTGATGCAGTCAGTGGCAACAGGATTGCAACGATTTATTTTTGTAAAACCCACTGACACGTTTAGTTTATTATCCTACTAACATTTTGAGATGACTAAATGAATAACCATATGTTATTTTTGACGTTTTGTTTTTAAATTTTCTTTTTCTTTGATCTCCATTTTCTTTTTAAATTTATACAGTGTTTATTAAGGTTAAATCATGTAGAGTTTAATATGTGGGGCTCCGAGATTAACACCTTTATGAAGCTCTACAAAAGGAAATCTCATAAAAAAAACTTGGAATAAAAAGCTATATGATATATTTAGAAAAAAATTTCTATCAAAGTTACTAAACCATATATCATATACCATATATCATATTCAGTGGATGATTATTTTGATGTTTTTTTTTTAAATTGTACACTTGAAGGTTGGATTACGACGAATAAAATATGCAAAGTTATTTCTTGTAAAAGAGTTAAATTACATATTCCTGTTTGTACACAAGACGAAAAAAACATTATGATAAACAAGGAATGCGCGAATTTTGATTACACTCGAATATAGAATATTTAATGCGGATAAGTAACAACCCAAAAGATTTAATTGGGGCCTCAATATGTTGGAGGTCGATCTCAGTGTGCCTAATTTTGAATTAAATGATTCTTCTAGTTTTGAAGATGAATCTTAAAAAATTATTTTTCTTTTTGATTTTATTTAGCATATTAAATAACATGCATTAAAATATGATTTGCAATTAAAATTATTTCTTATTTTCTGCATATAAAGTCAAGTAACTTACGTACTTTTATTTGTACCGCTGGTTTTGAGCCTTCAGTTTCAGTGACTTGCAGAAGTCGTGATGCTTAAGAGGTGAATATTGAGTAAATTATCTGGAACAAATCTGACACCAATAACTTAGTCATATTCCATGTCCATTCCATTTCAGATTTTGCTTTTCTTTAAATATCATTAAGTCAGTGTGTTTTCAGCTTGTGACTGTATTTTTATTAGTCTTTGGCAAGTAAAGGCTGTCGCGGTATGACGATCATCCGGTGTGTTATAAATTGCGATTTCACTAATCTTTTAGAATCAGTTTTTGCTAATTGCTTGAGGTTCAACAATCTAGATGAACGGAAGAACGAAAAAATTTTTGTTTTCCTTGTGAATAATATACTAAATATTTGCTGCATTTGTATAATAATAATAATAATATTAGACTGGGAGAAATGACCGAAGTGAAAGAGGTCACAATGCAAATTAAATCAAGCCTAAGAATTAGAAATACTTAGTTTGAACCATAGGAAAATATCATTCATGTGAATAGGAAATTATAAAGATCCTAGGTTGATCGTGAGAGATACGGAACAGTAAAACTTATCTATTTTTACAAACGCTGTGCTGAAGTCATGTATACAGAATCATTCTGGCAGTTATCACCAAAAGAAAAAATTCTGTCGATAATAGAATTAATAACTGTCGAGACTTCTAAAATCTCAGCCGATTCATGCAGTAGTAATGGTCTCAAAAACGAGACTCATGCGTGGGATAAATTGCGTATTATGATTGCTTTGCGGCACCTACAATGCATCAAACAAAGAACTGAGGTATGTAAAGAAAGTTCGCAAAGTTACATTATCAAGCGTCACCTCACCCGGCACATTACGAAAGAATGATTGTGCGGTGGGATATAAGCAAAATACTCCATTTTTTGGGCATCAAAATTCACCAGGGCACTACGCTAAATAATCGTATTACTGACCTCGTAGCGGTCACGTCTGTGGTAGAGTGAAGGGGATGATGATAATGATGACGAGCTGTGCCAAACGAGATACAGAATATATTAATGTGTTATTCTAAAATCCAGGGCCCACTTATTGCAATCTATGCAAATTATTACTGGAGTTTAAGTGCATGAGACAACTGCTATCATTTTTTCGAATTAGTGTTTTATAATTACTCATTCGTACTCTTCTCACTGAATATTAAAATAAAATTTCTTGACCAATGCAGTTTCTAACCGCATCCTTAATATAAGTGTCTTGATTAGAATGATGTTTATGAATGTAGAAGCTAAGCTGTAAATTGAATTTTACATAAAAACAAATTTAGGTTATGGTTAAGGTGATTATAACGATACTATGGCGGGCCAAGTTAAAACGAAAAGCTGTATATTTGGGTTTCGCTTGGAAAAAGGGTAATGTGTCTAGAATGTAGCAAAAAAAATCATGTCACCGCTTTGGGAAGTTCACGGGTGTGAAGTGTAAATAACAATGAGGATTACTGTTTTGCAATCCCGCAGTAGATAACATAAGATCTCATCGACTTCAGTATCACTCCAACATCGAAGGTCCAGAAGATCCTATCCATCATCACTCACTGCGTCTACTTAAGCCTTTGTATTCTGATGCAATCCAAGTCTCGTTGTTGTACCTTATCCCTCACACACTCTGGTCCTCAACTAGTCCCAGGATTCTACGCAATACCTTTCCTTCGAATGTCAAGTTTATCACTTGATCTCTTCGATAGGTTCCAAGTTTTGCCACCATATATCACGATTGATCCAATAATTGCTTTATATATTCTTGTCTTTGTTTGTCGGCGTAAGTCTTGTGACCTGAATATATGGAACAGCATGAAGTTTGCTCCATTTCTTTGTGTTATTCTGTTGTTTATTTCTCTACTTTCCGTGCTATCACAAATACGAGCACTGCTCAACCTATCCACATGATAACATTCTGTGTTTTGTGTGATTCCTATGTTTATCTCCAATCCTGTCCGTTTGGCATGACTCTTCAGTTGAAAGTATGCATCTTCTGTACCTGCTTTCGACTCATAATGTTCACATCGTCTGCATATGTTGTACTGTTTTGGAGGTCGGCAAATTCTCTCTTCCGATGTTTTATCATGAATTTAAGCGTTAGGTTGAAAAGAAGAAGAGCTTTTGTTAATAACTTCTTTTACTGTAAATATATGATCAGTTGTGGACCTGCCACGTCTAAAATGGGTTTGGTACTCATCAATAACGATAGCTTATATAGGTTACAGACGCTCATTGATAATACAAGATTCTTTATGATGAAATTTTGGAAATTCCGCGGTAGATCTTACAGGCAAGTTTGTCATCATTTTCATAAATATTATCCATTATTGTCCATTTATTCACAATTAGTTTTCAAAACTGTATGATACAGTGTCAAATCCTCTGCTCTAATCTAATAACATTAGCACGGAGATTTTGTCATAGTCAGTTGCTTTGGTGATTTAGATAAAGTACACCAATGAAGCTGTCTAAATCCTAATTGTCTCATAGCTTTACAGATTAAAGTCTTTTTGAAGAGATTTCTCAAGCAGAACAGTACGCTATTTTATTCAACGATATTCTTCTTAGGTATCGGTTTTACCAGCAAATATTTCAAAATCATAGAGAAGTTGATTTATGGGTGTTTTTCTTTAATAATGAAATGTTGAGTAGATAAGAGTAGTAGAAGAGATCTAACAAAATCTACATATATTATAAGCTAAATACTTAGAAGTTTTTCGACATGAATTATATTGCATCATGTATATTGTATAATATCGCTGACGATATCATTCATCGTTAACATTGACAGGTCATGCATGTAATAATATCCAATAATATTGATAATAATGGGTAATATAATAACAATGACCTATTCTCTGGCACCATAGTTTGTGGGATTTCAAATATCAAACAATTACAACCAAATTTTGGTGTTTTTAAAAGGAATATTTTATCTAATTTAACCAAATCCTTTCTTACCTTTTCAACCTCAGTATATTGATTATTTAAGACATGATGTAGATATATATAAACAAAGTGAGGTTGATGTTTGAAGTTTGAAGATCACATAATTTGTGGAACAAAACCTTTTGAATTAATTTAAGCCCTAAAGGAAGGATTGATTATGACTAAATGAGATAGGATTTTATGTCAATTAAATCCAAACGCCACAAAGAACATAACTTAAAACTTTTATCAGTTAATTCTTTGACACTCCGTCGTTTTTCTCTTTAATAACCTTCTATATTTACATACCAGCTTCATATTTGTCAGATTTATCGTTTTGTTTATGTCGACCAGCTTTTTTTATTGCGACAGTTTTATGATCGATTTGGTTTATTTCTCCATTCAATTTTCCAGTCGATTTACGACTTGAGAAGTAAATTGTCAAAAAGAAAACAAATAACAATAAATTGTTTCACAAATTTACACGTGTCTTTAATCCCACTTTAGCAACTTTAATAGAAATTTATTTCCGTGTTTTTATTTCCTGTTTTTTATTAGTATGGATTAAGAAAATGGGGAAACGGTTTAATCCTGGTTTTATGTACGCTACATTCAATTGGAATAATTGAACCCAACCGTTTTATAGCGTTTAATTTTAGCATTTTCATTTTGGTGATATGTATACGATAGAAAGGTTTTTACATTTTACATTTCCTTGGCTAAGGTCGTAAAATTTATTTTGTAAATTTTTGTAAAACTAATCCAATTTGGCTCAAAATCTATATTTTCTCTGCCAAGAAACTAAGTCTTATTAAAATAATGATTAACAAAAAGCATGTTGTAACAATGTGTTTATCTTTGTTTGTTTCTTAAATGATACTAAAAAAGTAATAAATACACGTGTCTCTGTTTAAAGTTTGTTTATTAAATCATTTGGTTGGAATAAAAGTCGAATAAACTTATGAAATGATTAAGCAGTGAATTTTGTTGTATTCATACTTAAAGTTGGATTTATGCGTTATATTTCCTAATTTTAATTGTTAAATTTTAAA